AGCACCACTTTCCTGCAGACTGACCACACCAGTTAGTTTCTCTCTTCTACTCCCCTCCCCCTCTCAGGGTACACAGCCTGTCTCTCCTTACCTCGTACTCCTCCTCCAGTATGACTGACTGCTTCTGGACATTCACTTTGGCCTCCAGTGAAGGATCCAGCTGAGAGAGAGCAGAGAAGAAATGTTACGACGCAACGCTTTCTGGCAGAAAGTCACGCATTCACAGCAACACAGAGAGGATGAAAACAAACCGAAGACAGGAAGAGAAGAAAGGGGAAGAGGTGGAAGGGATCCTTGTTTGAGAGACGACTTTGGTGGGGAGCAACATTCCAATTCACCCTGTTTTACTTTTTTAAATTATGCTGCTTGATTTGGCATCAACATCACCAGGTTTAGTAAAATGAAAAAAATGTGTGTCAGGGGGTTTCGGGAGAGAGTCGAGTCCAATGGAGCTATCTGGGTTTTGCAATTCAAATTGATTTAGCCCAAGAATAGGACTGAAATGAATCCCATTCTGAATCATTACTTTTAATGAGTTCTAATATTTCATAGCAATAACGCTGCAGTTACTCGGGTGACTGATGAGTTTCATAATTCCGTGATTGATTTTTAATTAGACCTACATTACTATAGCAAAAAAATAATATATACAATATTTTGCAGCCTTCAGACCAGGGAATTAATAGCCAAAGTAATTAGTACGATACTTGCTGTGGAGGTGTTATTAGCTTTTCTTCAACCGCCAGTAGCATAAACCTCAACAACAAACTGCGAGAAACAAAACAGAGGTGAGGAAAACTTACAAAACCTGCAAGGGGGAAGACAAAAGGCCTTGACGTTCATCCCTGCCTCCAGGCCAAATTAAATCACTGAAGAGAAAATGCAAATTGGATCATACAGTGACTTAACCCTCTGAAAGTGATTTTAATGATTTAAGTGTGCAAATATCTGCGAGAACAAAATAATGGAATTGGCTGATAACACTTCCAAGTCCGGAAGAGTGGCTTTAATCATGTGCATTTTGACAACTGTTTAGATATTCCATGCATTAAATTACACGTGCACACGCACACTGAGCAGAGTTGAATGTTAACTCCACAGGGTCTGAGAGCAGAGCGGTTCAGTCTGCCGCAGGCCTCGGCAGAAGAGAGCGAGAGTAGTGTGGGGGCAGCTGCACAGGCATGGTGCCAGGGGCGCGATGCCTCCCCTCCACCATCGTCATCCACAGTCTAGTGCTGCCTCACATGGACAGTAATAAGAAAAGATGCCCCTGCCATCTGGCTCGCACCCAGATGACGTGCATCAGCGTTTGTCAGAGTAAAATAGCACAAAACAGCTACTTCCCCTCGCAGCCAGCTCATTGAATTGTAATGGCTTCTAATAAAGGGCCGGTCTTCTGTCATTTTAATGAATTGGGTCTGTCATTTAATGAATTAATAGCGCTTGTTCTCACTTCTTGCACTTGTATTGATGGGTTAGAAAAGCCTCTCAGTGCTGTATGCCTGCAGTGTCTGAAGTGATGGATAGACAAAGTACATAATTCTAAGAAAAGAAAGAAATAATACGTAAGCCTAAATCAAACACCACTGTGAGATTCCAGCAGTCCTCAAAGATGTAGAAACATCTCTACATGTGTGCTATTTTTACACTGCTGGAAGAAATTGTGATGCTCAGATGCAATTATGTGTCCAACCACTGGGAGAAGTCATTGCACGCTGCCTGTGCAGAGGCTGTGTCTCTGAATGGTTGGGAGCTGGTTCTTTCCACTGGTACCGTGTGACGTGTAAATGGGAGAATTTAAACCTAATATGTGTAATGTAAGAGTTTACTACAAACCCTCTTTTTGATCTTCTGGGAATCATACCGAATTTGTGTAAACTCTCGCAGGCCAAAGGAACCTCCAACTACGAGCAACTGAAAACACATTGAAAGTACATATGGTAAGTTAATATTATCATAGATACTGATGTTAGGGCCTGAATAATGTGGACATGACATCACCGTAACACTAGATCTCAGTTAGTGACCTGAGGACTTTTTACAAATAAGTTATAATTTGAGCATTAATTATCTAAGAATATAATCATTTAGCCTAAAATATGCAATAATGGCACCACAAATTACAGTACGGCATCAAAAATGTCCATTAAGTTGAGAAAAAACTTTCAAAAAAAGCAGGGCTGATGACACTGAAGTTAGCATCTGATTCAGCATTTTACACGTATCAAATCTGGACGTGATTAACAAGCAGACTCCAGTAACTGCATTAATAAAAATAAAAGATTTTCAGATTTGTGAAACATTTATTCTGTTGGAGAAAAAACACAAAAGGGCAATTTTTCACATCAGACCAACAACAACTTGTCCTCCTGTTGTTGTGGCAATACTGTATAAAACTCTGACAAATCTAAAAAAAGGCTCTCTTTGATCTAGACCTGGTCTGATGCGGTCTAAATGTAAAAAAGCATTGAAAACGCTCTGCTTTGTGGTTTCACAGGTAGAATAAATATTTAATAAATCTGACACTATGTTTTGAAGAGTCTTAGTCCAAGTATAGTGAATATATGACATTTTCAACTTCAGTGTCATGCAGGCCTGTTGTTTTATGAGAGTACCTGATTAACTGGAAACAGAGTATTAATAAAAATCCTATTACTTTGAAGCTGTTAGATATGCACAGGTTTCCAGAACTGAAAAATCCTGGTGCTGATCCGTTTACAGTGAATGACAGTGTCAATACATGGATAACCCTTACTTCAACCTTTAGCACAGCGGTTCCCAACCGTTTTCCTTAAGGGAACCTTTTTATCAATGAGTAAACTGCCCACCCCTAACTGACTTATTCTACATAATGACATAATATTTGTATGAATATTTCATATTATATTTGATGCATAGCAATTACAGTACAGGACAATTAATAATCTGCAACTAGTGAACGTAAGTGCAGGAAGGTTGTGTGAAACTAGAGATTGTAATGAATCTTTAAGTTGCTCAGATGAGTTCTGATGACATTATGACAGATTCAGTGTTTTGTTAGCTCTTTGGTTGTTTTGACTGCAGTCTTTACTAATGTAGGACCAGGCTCTTTAGCAGAGTGAAGGCTCAGTTAATATAGCTTGTGTTCAGGTCTTCAAAGATTAGATCTT